AAGGAGGAGTCAGAGCTCAGAGAAGACGGGACCTCTGTGCTCCACATCTTTAAAAAATGGTCTAATGGCGGTCCTGCAGTGGAATGCCAGAGGACTCCGACCTTCCATTCTAAAATTGCAACACATACAGGTTACACTGTGCCCACTTGTGGCCTGTGTCCAAGAGACAAAGTTCGCCCCGGCTTCAAACATTGACTTAAAAATTTCTCATCATCATATTCACGCCGAGAACCAGACAGCTTCTGGTTGAACCACCGTCTACGATGCATCGACAACAACACCCTCCACAGACAAATACATGTACATCTTATGACAACCCTCGAGGCTATTGCTGTATGGGTCACCCTGACAAGACCAATCACGATCTGCTCCATATGTCCCGTCAAATAACCCCTCAAAATTACCCAGCTTAATGACTCAAACACCAAGTCCACAGACCCTTTATCTTAGTAGGAGATTTTAATGTACATAACCTCCTTTGGGGATTTTGGCAACAAGGAAAAAAACAATAAAAGACTTTTTTAAATTTCAAAACAACATCTGCCTTTTAAATGGTAAATCTTCAACTTACTGAAACAAATCCTTAACACTTCATCCATCGACCTTTCTTTCTACTCCCCTGACCTGGTCCCAGATTTTGAGTGGTCTGTGCTGGATGACCGTGCGGATCATTTCCCAATATTTCTCAAAAACAATAGCCTCCAACACCTCCAACACGAACCGACCCCAGAGCGCTTTAGCTTCAAAAAGCATACTGGGACGGGTTTTTTATTGGATGCTTCCATATTTTGAACCCCACTTTCAGCCTCAACTACCACTAATTTCACGAAACGATTCCAGAAATGTGTCACAAAGACATACCACAACCATCAGAAAAAACCATATTTTTCTGCGGAGGCCACTGCTATTGACTTGGCGTTAGACTCCGTAGAATATTCTCCCAAATTATCGTTTCTCATTCTGTCCGATGCCTTGTCTTGCCTCACTCCACCCACCAATCTTCTTCACTTCACCTTCTCCTATCCCGTAGACCGGATGTCCGTTGTGGCGCTATTGAAGATTTGGGCACCAGCTTCCTACACTCCTTCGCTCTTCAGATTTCCTGAGCGTGTCTTTGAGGTCCAGGCCTGTTTGTTCCCTGATTTTGTCCTTCCAACTCTCCTTCGGCCTGTCTCTGCTCCTTTTTCCCTGGACGTTGCCTTGCAAGATCATCTTGGTAAGGCCGGATGAACGGACGATGTGTCTATGCTATTGCAGTATGCATTTTATGACCAAAGTGAGAAGGTCAGGGTATGGTCCAATTGCATTTTTGATCCGTTGTTCGACTTCATCATTTGTGATGTGATCTTTTTATGAGATACTAAAGACTTTTCGGAAGTATCTCATCTCCACAGCTTTGATCCTTCTTCTTTCAAGGTCTGTATTCAAGGTCCAGGATTCACATGCATACAAAAATATTGACATGACCAGGGAACGAATGAGTCTGATCTTTGATCTGATGGTGATATTTCTGTCTTTCCAAACGGTTTTTTACTTGGTCATTGCTGATGAAGTTTGCCCTATTCTGGAGAGTATTTCTGGTTTTGGCCCTTCGTCTGTCACTATTGCACGTAGGTATCTGAAGCTGCGTACGGTCTCGAGCTTCTGATTGTTGACTGGATGTCCACTGTGATATTTTTGCTGCTATTAGACAATCTAAAACTTTTAAACTCGAAAATAGTTAAAATGCAGTTAAGAATTATTTCTTTAACTACATCTCCAAGCTATGGGATAAAAACTAATCTACTTCACTTCACTTTCACCTATCCCGAAGAGTGGATGTTCGTCGGGGCTTTTGAAGATTTGACCACCAGCTTCCTACACTCCTTCCGCTCTTCAGAGCGTGTCTTTGAGGTCCAGGCCTGTCCATTCCTTGATGTTGTCCTTCCAACTCTTCGTCGGTCTGTCTCTGCTCCTTTTTCCCTGGACGCTGCCTTGCAAGATCATCTTGGCAAGGCCGGATGAACGGGTGATGTGTCTATGCCATTGCTGTTTGCCGTTTGCGTTTCCTGACCAAAGTGAGAAGTCCAGGGAATGGTCCAATTGCATTTTTTAACCGTTGTTTGACTTCATCATTTGTGATGTGATCTTTGAATGAGATACTAAGGATTTTTCGGAAGCATCTCATCACCACAGCTTTGATCATCCTTTCAAGGTCCAGAATTTACATGCATACAAAAATACTGACATGACCAGGAATGCATGAGTCTGATCTTTGATCTGGTTGTGATATTTCTGTCTTTCCAACTGGTTTTCAACTTGGTCATTGCTGTTGAAGTTTGCCCTCTTCTGGTTTTGATCCTTTGTCTGTCACTATTGCACGCTGGTATTTGAAGCTGCGTACGGTCTCAAGCCTCTGGTTTTGACCTGGATGTCCATTGTCTTGCTGCTGTTTGACAATCTAAAACTTTGAAACCCGAAAATAGAAAATCTAGTTAAATTGCTGTTGAGAATTATTTCCTTCACTACATCTCCAGGCTGTGGGATAAAAACTAAAGTAAACAACTACCAACAAGCTTCACAGTGTCCACACTGGACCCACGAAAATCTTCTGGTCTTTCGAGAACAGACGAAGAAGTTTTTACTTGTTTACGTATTTAGATATGTGCTTCCGTGACCCATGGATATCTCCTGCGTTGAGATGAGAAACCGCTCTGTGTCAGATGCGATACAGACTTAACCATTAGACACATTAGAATGTCCGGACTTTGGAGAGACCCGAAGTAAATATTTTAAATGCACAAAATTAAAAGGTCTGTTCTCCGTCGTTGATCCAAATGGAATTCTCAAATCTATAAAAGTCATTAGCCTGTTTTCTAAAAAGTAGATAATTTTTGTTTTAAAATGTAAACATCTGTTTTTATTTTCTAATCTTTTTAAAACAATTTTGTTTTACCATGAGATGTTTTCCTTTACTTTAAAAGTAAAATAAAGCCGTGCAGTGAGCTGTTGTGAATGCAATCAACTTGTGTTTCATGCGTGCATGTGGCCGTAAGATGTTGCCGTAAAACTCTTATTAAACTAACTGCAGAGCGTTGCTCCATGATGTACAGCAGAGAAGGCTTCTGGATTCCAACTCCTAGATGGATCCGCCACGTGCCGTCTCACACACACACACGGCGATACACAAATCAGAAAGCTACTGTCGTTATGTGGACACCAAAAATTCTGCACACACTCGGAGTGTGTATAGCGTTGTGTATAGAAATAACGAAATAACAGCGTTATTCGGAACGGAACCAAATTCAAAAATATTTTAACACATGATGTAATTTTTGGCAGGAAATGCGATGGTGACCTTAAAACATTATGTGGACGTCTACATAACGGGGCATGTCTACATAACGTGAGTGTGCAAATATACTTTTGTCTACATAACTACGCAAAGACACACACACACACACACACACAGATACACACACACACAGATACACATACACACAGATACACACACACACACACACGCTGATACACACACACACACAGATACACACACACATGCACACACACACACAGATACACACACACACACAGATACACACACACAGATACACACACACACACATGCACACACACACACAGATACACACACACAGATACACACACACAGATACACACACACACACCCCTCTCCCCTCTCGCCTCTCCCCTCTCGCCTCTCCCCTCTCGCCTCTCCCCTCTCCCCTCTCGCCTCTCCCCTCTCCCCCGCACCGACACTAATCTTGTTCCCAAATCCGCGCCACAAACACCCAGAGAGGAAACTTGTCCTCACGGGAAAATAGGCAACAAGGAAGAAGTCACACCCCCCCCCCCTTCCACCCCCAACCCTCCCCTCTCAACTACCCCCCTCCCCCATCTCCCCACTCAATATCCCTCTTAACCCCCCCCCCCCCCCCCCCCATAGGGGTGGGAAAAAATCTTCCCTAAAAAGAAGAGGGGTGGGGTTTAAAAAAAAGGGTGAAAAAGGGGGCACGAGGATGAGAAAAAAGAGAGGGCAAAAACACAAAGGCCCCCTGTTTACAAAAAAAAAAAAAAAAGGAAAGCCGGGTGTTAGTTTTTCGCCTCCTTTGAAAAAAAAAGAAAACCCCCCCCCCCCCCCCCCCCCTGGGAAAGGGATATAGACATGGTTCGTTTAACGGCGTGCCAAGAGAAATATGGTTTGTCGGTCTCCGTACTGTTTTATCTCATTGGGTCTCCCCCC